CTTCTGGGAGGAGCATTAGCCTCCCTGTGTAGGGTGCTACCATTCAAATTCTTTTTTAATTACATGTTTAATAAGCTTATGAAATAGTAAGTTTCCATGTGACTTTTTCATACATCCTGAGTGTTGGTTATCTCACCTCCACTCCCTTGTATCCTCCCGTAGTTATATCCATCCTAATTATTGCTATAGACATGTTTGTTCAACTCCATGAAATCCTTTAGTATATGCATATAATGTATTCATGTTTGTATGCAGTCTTTGAGGTTCAATAAGTATTGTATACACACAATATGGTCAATTGGAAGTTAAGTGGCTATACACTACCATCTCCAACAGTGCAATTCTAACTAGGTGACATTTAGTGCATGTTTTCTGTGTTCCGTGGGCTTTACCTGAGTTTTCCCAATGAATCCTCACAGCAGTTCTGTAGTTGATACTACTAGGTTTGTTGTATGGGTAAGAAGACTGGTACTTTAAGAGCTTAGGTGTGAGCCTGAGATCTGCTGTTAGTTACATCAGACCTTGATCCTGGTTACAGGGCTTTGACTTAAAGATAACACACTGCACTGAAACTAGAGTGATGTGAGAAGGCAGCGTGGCAGATTCTGAGATAAAGACATTGAAGATTAGAGATGGGGAGGGGGTAAATAACAGCACGTCACAAGTTAACAATGGAGACACTTGAAAGAAGAAAGCATTTGAGATGGAATGCTGGGAAAGGAACAAGATGAGTTTACCACGTGGGACACTGATGCCCTGTTCTTGGAGTTAATTTATTCCTTGCCAGGGTATTTGTGTGGCAACCATTTGATTGCCATGTATTTAGAACAGATTGAATTCTTCTTGCATTTTAAAAGCCCATCTGCTATGTAGAGTTTGGGTAAAAGTATATGCTGTGGTGACTGGGCTGAATTAAGGCCAGAGCCTCCGAACAACCCTGATGCCATGGCTTTGTTATAAAGGTCTGTAAGATATTATCCTGGTGTCATGGATTATAGAAATGTGCACAAATGGCAGTTTCCTTCTTTTGCTTCACACAATGTTAAAAATGAGTAAAATATGTTTCCCATCGCACTTCCCCTGTGCTTGGGGACTCAGTGAACTCATTTTTAAGTTTTCACATCTTTATAAAAATGTTTTGTTTTTACTAAAACATGTTTTTGATCAAGAACATAATTCCACGATTGCGTGTGTGTTTCTGAAATAGGTATGTATATGGAACAAGTGCATGGAGGCATGCTCAGGCTCCAGGCCAGACCCCAGGACAAGGACTCTTCAGCTCCAATCTCAGCCTAGCCCAAACTCAATAGATGATCTCAAGAGAGGGAGAAGCTTCTGCATTACTGATCAGTTTTCTTTTCTTTCTGTCTCTTGTTTATAAGTTGGAAGAACTAGAAATAGGAACAGTTCCAATCATTTTTTGTTCAACTGTATAGAAATTTAACTTTTAAATTCAGAGAATGCTAAAATTCATACAAACTGCACAATAGAATTTTCTAAATATTTTTGAAGGAGTGGCTCAGTTTTTCAAATACATTATCTGAATATTAAGATATATTGTGTTGTGTACCCAATCCATATTTTGTGAATAGTGTAAAAGGAGCTATGTAATTTCTACAACACTGCTAATATAGGCACTTATCATAATAGTACTTTATATGTAGGAAACACTAGGTTCTTGAACATTGCACATATCTCATTTCATTCTGATGACACAGGAGATAAAGACTATAGCCACAGGCCAATTCTGGTGAGTCCCAACAAATTGGGTCTGGCCACTTACCCAAACAACTCAAGTGGGAAAGTAATAGTGGTCAGGCAGGAAAGAAATTTCATCAATATGGCAACATCAGAGAGAAGGAGATCAGATATCTCAGCTCATCTTCAGGGTGAATAGAGGAAGGCTGAATAGAGGAAGAACCAGGGCAGGGTGTGAGAGGTATGCATATGTAGGCAATCCTGGACGAGCTATGGTCTGATTTTCTTTCAGGTCAGGTTCTGCAAAGTGACTTTGCCTGAGTCCTTATCACTTGACTAGTGTGGTTCCCACAAGATGATTTTCTCATGGGGTACTCTAGGGGCAGTCTCAGTTTCTCTTATGGGGTGATTTTCCCTATCACGTGGTAATCTCATCATAAGGTGAATTTGTCCATGTAGCGCCCCTGTTCCTGGACTCCAAAATAACTGGAGGTCTGGGATGATGACTGGCGACCTGCTGGCCTCTTTTGGAGTAAGGGTCTAGAATAGGGCATTGTAAAATTTGGCTGTAAAATACTTTCATTGTTCTTATCTCCATGTCTTCAGCCTTGGAGGGAGATGAGATAGGTTCAGAGAATTTAGGGCTAATCAACATGTATCACCAGTTTTCAGACAGATGTTCCTTTATCAAATAACATATTTGATTTAAACAGGGATCTTAAGAAAAGGCAAGCGATACAAAAGAAGGCAGATATGGCCAGGCTTTAATCCTGTTTTTAGTTGCCTTGTGACCCAATGGGGAGCCAGTATTCTTTATTCAAAGCACTTTCTAAGTAGCTGTTGTAATAATCTCTCCATTTTATGAATGAGAACATTAGCTTGTCCATAATTACAATGTTAATAAGTGACTGAGTCATTAATTAAATCCAGTTCTAATTCTAAACTCTCTGCTTGTAACAGAAAACTACATAAACATGCCTCAGATAAGAGGCTGCTGCAGATGGTGCTGAGTTTGTAGGCATCGGCCTTGGTATTCTCCAGAGCTCTCGCATCCTCCTCCCCCAACACACTAAATTTACTACTATGGTGTAATTTACCACATTTATGGTGCTTCAGTAAAGGAAAGAACAAATTAGTAAAAAGTGGCTGATCTTTGCTACAATCTTGGTTTGCTTTTTAAGCTTATTCCTGTTGGCTGTTTTTCCCCCCAACAGAAACCCTCAAAAGCAAGAAGCTACATAAGTTTGTTTTGTATTCTTTTTCTTTTTAGCATTTTATTTCATTTTATTGAGAATGTCATATGTGAGTAGTGTATTTATACCATTTCCACCCCTTCTTCTCCCCCTCCAACTCTTCCCACACTGCCTCCTCGGTGGTTCTTTAATTATTATTGTTACATGTATATGCATGTAACAGACATTCACACACACACACACACACACACACACACACATTCTACTAAATGCATTGAGTGGGGCTAGTATGTACGTATATTTAGGACTTGGGAATCTATCAGGGAGCTCATCCATGGAGAACTCATTCTCTCTCAGAGGCTATTAATTGCCTGTAGTTCTTCTTCTACAAGTAGGACCTTGTGAAATTTCCCCTATCCACACTGGCATGTCACCTGCTATTGCCATTTTGGAGGTCTTGTTTAGGCAAGCATACTGTAGAGATTTCATGGGTGCAGCATCCCTGTGATGTCTAGAAGACACCATCTAGCTGGAGGCATCCTGGTCTTCTTGCTCTGCCAATCACTCTGGCCCCTCTTCCTCAATATTCCCCAAGCCTTAGGTGCAGGGTTCCTTTTCTAAGCTGAAGTGAAACTCACATAACATGAAATTAACTGTTTGAATTTTTATTTATTTATTTTTATTTTATATTTATGCGTGTATTGCCTGCATGTGTCTTAAGTGAGCCTGTGCCACAAAATGCCCATAGAAGCCATCAGATTCCCTAGAGCCAGGGAGGAGGTACATGACCATATGGAAACAGAGGCCTATAAGTTCCTGGGAACCTGCTCATATAATTCTGTGGCAATGGTGTCAGCATACACAAAACCATGCAAACTCAGGCAGACAGTAACCCAGCATAGAACTGTGAAAATGAACAGCAGACTCCAGTCTTATCTAAAGGAATGTTGGCAACTGATTGCTGCTAGATGAAGAAGAGCTGATTTACCTAAAGCAAGGGACTCTAGATAGGCTGGTTAGACTCAGTAGATGAACTTGCACTGGGGAATGGCTGGGGGCACTGACAACACAGTGGATAGTAACAGGGATGACAGAGTATATGGGCTCCAGTGGGAGGGGGTTGTGGAAGGGTACCAGTGGGGATGGAGGTATAAAGTGGGAGGGGGTTGTAGAAGGGTACCAGTGGGGATGGAGGTATAAAGATGGTTAAGACTGTTTGAGATGTTCTGTATGGAATACACAAAAGAATTTAAAAATTAAAAAAATTAAATTGCCAGAAAAAAGATAAAAAATAATAGAGAATATGAAGGTATGATTGGAGAGGAAGGGGGACCTGAATATGATCAAATTGCATTGTATACAATTCTAAAATCAATAAAAAATATTGTTAAAAAGAACCTTCTTTGATGACTTCTCTGCGAATAGAAGCATAAGTATTTAGAATATAATAAGAAATTCCATTGTTCTAGAAAGTGCAGAAGTATGTTCTTCTCTAGGATCCATGACCTCTCCCACCATGTGTGCTTGGCTATGCTTACAGGACCATATGTGGATTCCCTCCTGTTGAGCAGACCTCAAGTCCAATCATACAACTTTTTGATTGCTCCCAAGATAAAAGAGCCACTACTGCATCAATAGAGATATTTTGCTGGGCTGGTCGTTGTATTTCACAGGCTTTCTAACTGTATATAGCCTTTGGTTTTTCTCTCTTGGCAGCTTTCATACTACCTCCTGAACTATGAGAACTAGCATTCAGTGAGGAAGCTTCCAGATCAGTTCCAACTACTCTAAGTTTCAACTCAATTGTGCTAAGCCGTGTGTACACAGTATGTGGTGTCTTCAGCAATAGCATCTTACCTTCAAGTTTTGGAAGGCAATTAAAGATGAAGGCAATAGCCCATTGTATTTTTTCATTTACTGAATGTGTTATGTATGGATACATTGTCAAATCTAAGATCATGAATATTTGGCCCATGTTTCCTTCTTCTAAGAATTTTATGGTTTTCTTGTTATGTTTATTTTATGATTTATTTTGAACTGATTTTTAAAATATGATACAAGGAAGAGGATCCTGTTCATATCTATTTACTCTTTTATTTTATTTTCTAGGAACCCTTCAAAGCAAGGGATTGCACATTTTTAATCTGACTTCGCTAACCAAGTCTGAAAACATTTTGTCAGCCACGCTGTATTTCTGCATTGGAGAGTTAGTGAACATAAGTCTGAGCTGCCCAGTGTCCCCGGGATGCTCCCATCATACTCAGCTGCACATCCAGATAGATCTCTCTGCATGGATCCTCAAATCCAACCAAAACCAAAGTCAGCTTCTAGGCCATCTGTCAGTAGAAGTGGTCAAATCTCATCGAGACATTATGTCCTGGCTGTCAGAAGACATCACTCAGCTCTTAAAGAAGGCCAAGAAAAATGAGGAGTTTCTCATAGGTTTTAACATTACATCCAGTGCACACCAGCTGTCCAAGAAGGTGTTACTTTCTCCAGAGCCTTATATCTTGGTATATGCCAACGATGCTGCCATTTCTGAGCCAGAAAGTGTGGTATCGAGCTTACAGCGACACCGAGATTTCCCATCAGGAACGGTACCCAAACTGGATAGCCACATCAGAGCAACACTCTCTGTTGAAAGAAGGAAAAAGCGTTCTACTGGGATCTTGTTGCCTCTACAGAACAATGAACTGCCTGGGGCAGAGTACCAGTACAAGGAAGATGGTGTGTGGGAGGAGAGGAAACCTTACAAGACCCTTCAAACTCAGTCCCCAGAGAAGAGCAAGAACAAGAAGAAGCAGAGAAAAGGGTCCCCCCAGAAGAGCCAGACACTCCAGTTTGATGAACAGACGCTGAAGAAGGCAAGACGAAAGCAATGGATTGAGCCTCGAAATTGTGCCAGGAGATACCTTAAAGTGGACTTTGCTGATATTGGCTGGAGTGAATGGATTATCTCCCCCAAGTCATTTGATGCTTACTATTGCTCCGGAGCATGCCAGTTCCCCATGCCAAAGGTAGCCATTGTTCTTTACCTGTTCTCACTTTCCATTTTCTGAGTTGAAAGGTATGCTAAGTGTGTGTTTTCATTTACAAAGCTTATTTGGATCCTTATATACAATGCCCTAAACTATAACATAATGAACAATATGGTTATGCTTGGGTTTTCACTGATGGTTTTCAAATATGAGGTAAAAAGACATGGAAAATTTATGTGTACAATATGCATTTTGTGTTGCTTCCAAAGATGATGTAGATCCAGCGTGGTCACATCTATCCACAGTAAACAAGCCCCAGGTGGCAGAAGCTGATCTCTGAGGGGTAGTAAAGGAATGAGTGAATATTATAGAACCGAAGAGGAAGGGTTAATGGGATCAATATCCTGATATAGAGCATTTCTGGGTAAATAGTTTCTCGTGAGCTTACTTGTCCCAGTAGAGGTCAGAATCAAGGTTTGGCTGGGTACACTGGCCTCATGAAATCCACCTTATCTCATTTCCTTGCCTGATAAACATCAGAAAAAAAGAGAAAGGGATGAATAAAAAAGATGAGGAGGAGGAGGCACAACAGTGTGTAATGCCTCTGCACACATCTTCCAAGGCCCATTTCATGCTGTCAGAAATTACCTTTGTCTAGTCCAAACTTGGTAAGGACTGTATTTCATCGTATCATATTTTCAGAAGTCTCTCCAACTCCCACCTCCATCCTGTAAAGCAAGTCCAAATGACAGCTCTTTGAACTTGAAGTATTAATATTTCATCCTATACATTTAGCCGCCATCCTGCACCCAGTTAAGCTCATTGCTGTGCTTCCATTCTCATCTTGCAATAGTTCAAATCTCCATCATATACTTAGGAAGGATTGAAGGGACAGAATCTAGAAGAATGGAAAATGTTTTTTAAAAAATAAAAGTTTAATCGGTTTTCGCTGTTTTATAATGGAGAAAAAAAAGATCCTGACCAGTTTCTCCTTATAAGTCTTTATCTTAGCATTTTTATGTTCTAGTCCTTTGGGTAACACATACATAGAGAGAAAGCGCAGGCTGCACAAGGCCAGGTTAGCCCAAGGGCTAACAAGTGGACTGGCATCCCATTTTTCTTGTCAGAAAGATACACTTTGTACATTTTCTATGAACTTGTCTTTCCCAGGATTTTTGATAATTTCCAGTTTTATGACTCCAAATGAGGATTATATGCACAGAATTACATCAAGAGTTTTATCTAAAGATTTACAAAGGGCATTTCACTGATCAACCAAAATTTGTTCAAGTGGGATGACATTTAAAAAACCAGGCCTCTTCAGGTATGATGGCACATGCCTTTAATCCCAGTGCTTGGGAGGTTCTTTGTGAGATCTAGGCCAGTCTGGTCTACGTAGTGAGTTCCAGGTCAACTGGGACTACAGAGAGACTCTATCTGAAAGCAAAAACAAAACCAAGACAATAAATGTGAAAGCAAAGATGTGTCCTTATCAGTTTGACTTGCTTTGTGACACTGAGAGGCAAGGATGTCATCACAATCTGTTTTTAAGTCCAGAGTTACTGCTTTTAGGTGGCCTTACGGTGTTTCCAAGTAATGCCACTCATTCTCATAAGCTCTCCTTTCTTTTGGGTAGCAAGGAGAAGTTTTTCAGTACCCCCCTGACTGCAACTTCAGGCCAAGAACCACCCAAGAATAGATATACAATCAGTTTGGCTTTCATCCCAAAACTGGAGCATCCGTTCCATCTCCATCTCTAGAATTGCTCCCAACTCAATCCCCTCATCTTAATTCTGTTCATGTCCCCTGTCTATAAACCCACTATTGCTTTAAAAGAACTTCATCCTGGTTCCTAGTACTCTACGCTATCATAATTTTAAAACTGACGTGGAATAAATTAAGAATGACAGAGACAAATCCAAGGAAAAAATTATATTAGTGCAGTGGTATAATTAAATATACCTCATAGCAGGGCTTTTTAAGCCTTAATGTGTCTGTAAAAGGCTTGGAGTCTCAATACACAGACACCGATGCAGTGTTGTGAAATGAAGGCTAAGACACCACACGTGTCTCAAATTCTGTGGAGATCTTCACGCTACCCACGCAAAAGTGCTTTTAGGAATAGCAACATTGACAATCAGTCCCTTTTAACTTGAATCTTGGTTCCACCACTGACTGAGCAGCAATGACTTTTTGGATAAACTACTCAAACTCTCTACATGTTAGTTTTATCTTTGAAGTGGCTAACTTGGTGAATAATAAAAATACTAGTACCTGAATATTAGAAACAGTGAGAATATGAGATAGTAGAGCAACTTGCATGGAGTTGGGCACTCAGTAAATATTTGCTATTGTCATAACTAACAGCCATCGAGGAAGATGGAGGCGAGTTGAAAAGCCAATGCTGGAGTCTACAGAGACACTATGTAGGGAAAGGTAGCATCTCAATGAAAGTCGTGAGGCAAGGAAGGTTTCGTAAATCTTTTTAGTACATTTTCAAACATCAGAAAATTGAAAATAGGATTCTCCCTCTGGGTTCAACAGCCTGTGAGCTCTTCCAGGAAGTTCTTATGGGGAGTAACAGAATCAGAAGAGGATTTGTTGCTGCGGCTGGGCTGATCATAATATTTGTCAAAACTTGGAATGGCATTAGAGCTCCAGGGAGACATAACAAGGCTAAGCGTGGAGGGTTTTTTCTTTTGTTTTGTTTTGTTTTTGTTTGTTTTTTTTTTTCCTCTGAGGTTGATATTTCCTTTTGCCAAGTTGAGAGTGGAAGTTTGGCATCACTTTGCATGGATCTGCTTAACTTTTAAAGTGTTCTGGAGTTCCCTTTAAGCTCTTTAGGCTTTGTATCTTCCATGTGGTACAGTAACAAAAACGGATGGGAAATATGATGTAAAAGGAAGACGTAGTTAACAAGCACCACTGTTAGAACAGTGTCTGGTATGGCAACCAAAATGAAATATTAAATACAAGTATATTATGACCAGTAGAGGAGAACAAAGGTCCCTCATCCGGTCAGTGCAGCACATGTGGAATAGTCAAAGTGCCAAATAAGTCTCAGAATTTAGATATACATTCTGCCTTAGAGAAAGTTCTCCCAAGTCAGCCTTTCTCCCCCCAACTCCTTATTTTTTAAAATTTGGCCTGGGTGAAAGCCTACTCTATATGGCAGGGCTCTTCGTCTGCAAAAGTCGACAACCTGCTCTGTAATTCAGAACAGCTGTGTTCTGTCTTTCCCAAATTCCAGGCTTTGCCCTTTCACTGATTCCAATTAGATAGTTTCTGGGCCATCACACCCATGTGGGCTGGACTGAAAGAGTGTGGAGCAAAACCTCATGGCCCAGGTCAGGAATGAAGGCTCATAGCGGATGACATACTTTCCCCTGCTAATGCATTTGTAATCAAATTCAACTTGAGGACATCACACACAACTTGGCAGGTGCAGGCCTGACCACTGTAGATTTCATTCACAGACACAACAGTTTGGATTTTCCTGATTTCTAGCTCTTATAGCCAATTTGTTCTCCCAGAGAGAGACTCTTGGAATTATGCCGTGAGATGAAAAATACCCAGATAGCCTGAGCCAAGTTCTATGCCTCTGCTTCCCTCACCACCTTAGCAGAGATGGAAACCAGAAATTTCAAATGAAAATGATTGAGCCATTGTTCCTGAAAGAGATCCAAGAAACCAACAAGGATTAGAGGAATGAAGTTATTTCTGCAAGGAATCGAGCAAAAGTTAGGAATAGCAAGGCCATAGAGTTAGGCAACAAATAATTGAAATACTTTTGAACCGAGTATCCCATGTAAAGAAACTCACATTTAATGAGTTCAATTTTGGACTTTCAATGAATTTCTTTTATTTTCTGGTTCTAATCCTGTTTCTCTCAGTCATAAAGATGAACACTATAAACATTAAATCTTGGCATATTTAGGCCAAATTGTACCTGAAGATGCATTTCACCATCACTGAGGAGTGACAGATGAGGGAAAGAGTGCAGATTTGAACTTTTGATTGATTTCAATTTTAAGATCAGAAAAGAGAATCCTAAGAAAGTTGACCTGAACTCAAAAACAAAAACACCTGGACTACTGACATACTTCGCACCAGCAGATAACAACATGGATCATTTGTGCATGATGTAATAATTTCTGGTAATGGCAGCTTGGTCACAGGATTCCACTGTGAGAAGAAAGGGGGTACTCCCTAGTCATCTGATAAGAAACACCACTCCAGAATCGAGGGTTTGGGCCTGAATCCATGGAGCCCACTGGAGATGACTCACATACTGTTTCTGAACCCATCATAGCTGAATTAGAGTTTTTTTTTTAAAAAAAATGGGAATTTTTTCAAGGAAACAGTCATGAATAGTTTCCACAGCTGTACCATGTAGTTTGCACAGAACCTTTTATTTTTATTGATAGGAATTATTTCACATAAATGAGTAAAATAAAAGATATACTATTTCTTATGAGTGTTTCATCCATTTAACACATAAGTTTTCAGTGTCTAGATACACTATTCTAGGTCCTGAGGACACAATGTATAGGACTGTTTATTGGTCTAGAGCTCATCATATTCAAATATTAAACATTACCAATAAGAAGCTAATGTCAGAAAATCTGGTTTAACATTCATTTGATGCTTTAATGACAAGATGTTTGAAAGATTGAATCTTCAGAATAGCTTTAAAAAATAGGAAAAAAGTGGGTGGTGGCAAATATTCATTTCGGAAATCACCAGTATTATTGAATTAGCAAGCAGTAGCTATTGACTTCTGTTTGTATAAAGTACACAAATTTTGTGGGGTCTTTTGTTTCTTTTGAGCATGTGTTAATTATATGGAGTCATAGGTCTTTTTGTGACAACTTCATACATGTATATATCCTGCTTTGACCCCTGTCTTTAATAATCTCCCTTCTATAAAGTGCACATTTATAATGCAGAACAAACAACATGGAGAAAGAGTAGCCTGGACTTTTCAACATAAGAGGAGATAACTTGCTCTACAAAACCAATTAAATCTCATTAACTATTTAATTAAGTAATTAAAACTAAGGTTAGCTGTTCATTTAAACACATATTTAGGTCTCTAGAGTAAAACCGGTTGTATGTCATTAAGATTAACTTTTTACATTTATTTCACAAAAACTGAAGTGTAATGTACAGATTTTTTTTTCACCGAAACTGAAAGGATAATACAAATCACGTTTCCCTTTTTTCTGCCAAAAATCATCCTTTCTTTTTTTTTTTTCACAGTTCAGTAGCTTTTTGAATTACTTTCTCTTCCCTTGGCTTCCATGTATCCTCAGCATTTCAACTTATCCCAGTTTTCCAAGCTGGTGCTCTTTAGGATTTTGAAACTTAAGTCTCAACTCATGTGTCCAGAAATATTTGAGCCCTAAGAAACGTGGAAGTTCATGGTTGGAGTCATATTCTTGATCTCTGTCAAGTTATCCTCTCCCTCCGCACTTTTTTGGTTTGTTCATTTGGGGCTTTTTGCTGTCGTTTACTTTTATTTTATGTGTATGACTATTTTGCTTATAAGTGTATCCGTGTCATGCAATACCCACCAAGGTAGAAGAGGGAGTCGGATCCCCTGAATCTAGAGTAATGGATGGTTGTTAGCTGCCATGTGGATGTTGGAAACTGAACCCTGGTCCTCTGAAAAAGCAGTCAGTGCTCTTAATTGCCCAGACATCTCTCCAGACCCTGATTTTGTTTCTTTAATACAGTTTCATATATCTCAGGACGGCCTTGAATTCTTTTTTCTTTGCTTGTACCTCTCAAGTGCCAGGACTGCAGGTGTATACCACCATGCCTAGCTTTGGGGGTGGGGAGTACGGCAGGGTACTGGGGATCAAACCTGGTATCAAATGTGAAAGGAAAATTTGTGTTAGTGAAACACAACCTCAGTCCTCAAATTTCTGTTTCTAAATGTGTTTAAAACAGAACAGTCGGGTTCACCCACCTCAGAAAAGGCACCAGGGAGAACTGATGCTCGAAAGTGTGGCATCTCTTTTGGATTTCTTCTGACCATTCTGGAAATATCCCAGGCTTGGGATTGTGACTCTCCCTTCAACGTTTTTAGGTGGAGAAGAGCTCTATGTGGCTGAATAAAACTCATCCCATTTCACATTTTCTCAGGGAAGAGATTTAACCCAGGCTTCCTTGATCATAGGTTATCACCCATGTGACAACCTTAGACTCACTAATTTATTCCCAGAGGACATGATCCACCCACCCTTCGACTACAACTCTACCCACTTGATTAGAAGGCTATGGAGCAACAGTGACCTCTGGTGGTCAATGACGTGGTCTTGTCAATGTCAGTTTATACCCCTCAGAGCTGAGTAATTAATTGCATATTGTTGTAATAGTCATTTATAATTCAGCCTTTTGGCAACTCATAAATAAATAAACATTCCTCTTCCCCACCTAGTTTTATTTTAATGGTAATGCATACATTTTACCATATAATTGGAGATAGTCATCTCTACCAGTTTGTTTATTAGAATTCTGTAAAGATTCATACAGGGTCTAGAACAATTATTCATTTACAATTAAAAACATTGAGAATATATTAACTCCATGACTGGGGACTAAGTTGATTCTAATTAAATGATTCCTGCTCACTGAACTGAATTCAAAACTTCACTCTGCTGCTGACCAGCTACTTGACTTCAGACATGTGATTTAAGCTTTCTGAGTCTCTGCAAGATGCAAGCAGTTGGTTGTGAAGAAAATTCCTGGAAGACAGTGAACACTTTACAGGTGATACATCTTTGAATGTATAGGAGTTTGGGTAAAATGTTCAATGATTCAGGACCTTATCAAAGAAATTTGTTGTGTGTGAAGAGAACTAAGGAAAACACTTCCACCTAACATGTTGCTCTTATTTCTCTTTCCAGTCTTTGAAGCCATCAAACCATGCTACCATCCAGAGTATAGTGAGAGCTGTGGGGGTCGTCCCTGGGATTCCTGAGCCTTGCTGTGTACCAGAAAAGATGTCCTCACTCAGCATCTTATTCTTTGATGAAAATAAGAATGTAGTGCTTAAAGTCTACCCTAACATGACAGTAGAGTCTTGTGCTTGCAGATAACCTGGCAAAGAACACACTCGAATGCTTAATTCAATCATTAGTTGGTTTTTATGGACTTTGTTTTGCACTGTCAATGCATTTTGTCCCAAAAGATGTTTTATAGCCTAAAGAGGATGAACAAATTGATTGAAGATTTCCACCAAACAGAACTGGACTGTATTTTCTTCTGAATGTAACTAAAAGTGAGATTTTGGTAAATGTGGACATTTATTTCATTTTTTTTAATCACACGAGAAAAATTATCACGCAAACTGTTTTGAGAACTGTTAGAGAACACATCGACTTATTTTTGTAAGGGACTTTAAAACTAGGTGGGAAATAACAGCAATAATTTCTCATTTATCTCTACTCATCTAAGGGCTGAGGGAAAGCAGAGAGGAACTTCCCATTTCTGATTAGGTTTCTGACCTTAGATTCCCGAGCAACCCAGCGACTGCTAAATAAGTCACTCAGCTATGATGTTTGTCTTTAAAGTTTGTGACTTGTTTTCCCTTGATTTTCTTCCACAATCATCATGAGAGTTGAGTGTGTGCTAAGTGTTTGTGTGTATGTGTGCCATGCGCCTATACTCTTTGTGAGAAAGTTCCCTTAATATTCTATGACTCAGTCTACATGGGATTCTTTTATTGTTGTTTTTGTTCAGTTTCATGTTCCAGCAAGCAGCAACCACTTAGGTGAATTTTACTAAAGATGATCGAACAGTGAATGCATAGTGGTGCTTGACCCAGCCATTTAATTGAAAGTACAGTGTTTTTTGTTTCAATGGTTCCTTGGAAAGGGAAGCAGGGACTCACATTTTTGAAAACCCAGATGCAGTTTTCCTTCTGTGCTTCTTTTTGGGCAGGTATTTTCATTTGCTCTAAGCTAAATTCAAAAGAATTTCCTGAGTTCCTGAATCTTTACTTTTCTTTTAAATTATGCCCATTCTTCCTGTCAATAAGTATCCATCCCTAAAGCTGGTGGGAAACCAGGGAGCTCTTTCAACCATCACTTTAATCACAATCTTGTGTTGAACATCATTCTTCAACCACGCCTATGTCCAGGCCCTTCATGTAGATCAGGATGCTGGCCTAAGTCATGGAAACTATGCTTTGTCAAAGCTTGTTAAAAATTTATCCACCAGGAAAGAGAGCCAAATATAGATGCTAGCTTATTTTTGCCCGGTTCCATTTGTCATAGATATCTCCTCTTATTATTTGCCCTTAAAATTGTTTAATAACCTTTCACTCACAAACTGGCAGTTGGCTCGGTGGGTAAAAGCACTTGCTGCTGAGCCTGAAGACCTGAATTGGAACCCCAGAACTCACATGGTGGAAGGAAGAAGCAACTCCAACAAGTTTTCTTCTTTTCTCCTCCTATAAACAGGATAAATAAATGGAAGAAAAATTTTACTCCCTATATTTGCTTAAGGAATAGAAGTGACTTCAGGCCATAATGGTTGGTGCTGTTGTCCCTATGGACAGTCCTCATTTTGTTCAGTCTTAGCTGATGGTTAGAAATTGCTAAGCCATTTCAGAAGCTCTGCAACATCAGAAGACATGGAGTTTATTCTGCCTCTGCCTATAGCTGTCTAGCCATCTATTAAACATTGATCGAACACCTTCTTTTTGAAAGGTACTGTGTCCTTCTTCATTAAAACAAGAGTCTGATCATTTGAGCTAGATGTGCTGAGAGGTTTTGGTTTCTAAGATGAGCTATTTCATGCATATCTTCCTTGAAGGGTTGTTAATGATAGATATGAAAATATCTTTGTTCATGAGCCAAATGGAGTGACAGTATACACCTCAATATTTGTAAATGAGCATGGAATTCTCTCCTTATTTAATGGTGGCTACTAAACAACATGGCCATGAAAAGAAATTCCACTTTGAAAGTACAGCAATTTGGTGTGGATATGTGTTAACACTGAATGAGACACAATGGGTCTAAGAAGGTAATTAAATGCTAGACCCTAACTGACTTGGTTTATTCTAGTTCAGTTTTCATTCTGGTAGCATAAAGTTGCAAAAATTCAAACTCAGATGGGGAGGTGAAATTACCTTTAAATGCATTTTGTGACAAATTTGAAAGTTAAATTATATGGCAGAAGCAGAGCATTATAAACTCATATGTCTTTCATCAAAGAAAATTTCTTGAAGATTTGATGAACTTCTTCATTTTGCTCTTTCCAGAGAGATCTACTAACCAAACTACTAGTAATTCTCAGTGTCACTTCTTAACCTTCCATCTACAGCTGGCATTCACCTTTTAAAACCTGAATCAATTCCTACTCTTGTGGCTTAAATGTTGCATTGGGCCCAAATCCTCTAAATGATAAAAATTTCCAGGTACTGGCTAAGGTTTAATTTTGACCAGTCTTTGATAAGCTAAAAGCAGCACCTTCCTTAGCCATGGAGGTAGATCTCAGTGGAAGCTGTTCTGAATAACACCTTCTAGTTACCCTTTTGACCGCTCCTGAGTTGAAGATACATTATGGTATAAATGGAAAAACATTGTTCCCAAAGAATGAAGAAATATACTTTTCAGTCATGGGGGTTGATATAAACCAACTTTTTAATTAATAAAAAATTATTTGAAATAGAAGATTAAATAAGTGCCTGTGTTGCAATCTATTAGGTACAAATATCCATAAAGTTTCTACATAAGATTTTGAGAACTCTCTCAATATGATATTGGCATTGATATAAGAGACATTACATTTTTAAAAATCATTTTGAGACAGGGTCTCCCTGTAGCCCCAGCTAGGCTGGAACTCACTAGGTAAACCAGGCTGGCCTCGAACTCACAAGCGATCTATCTGCCTCTGCCTCCCAAGTGCTGGGACTAAAGGTGTATACCACCATGCCCAGGGACATTACATTTTTTTAAAATGCTGTTTCCTAAATAAAGCACACACATCCACCCCTCTCTTTTTCTCTTTACCTTCCCTCTCTTGCTTCCCTCTCAAACACTGTCTTAGCCATTCTTCCAGATCCTCTCTGTCTCTCTCTCTGTGTGTGTCTCTCTCTGTCTCTCTCTCTGTCTCTGTCTCTCTGTCTCTCTCTCTCTCTCTCTCTCTCTCTCTCTCT